AGGACATTGGAAGACTTGTTTCAAGGTGTAGCTACCCTATGGTTCTATATAGGGTGGCTACACAAGTAACCATCAATACATAGCTTGTGGTTGGCCTAACCTGTGCTCTATGTCAGGTTTCAAGGGCAGAACGTGGGAGACAAAGCAAGGGTCTCCTCTCAAGTCTAGAGGCTCATGTATTAAAGGAAAGAGGGAGCAAGTCTGCATAAGAGTAAGAGAGAGTTGGAAGAGAAGTAGCTGGAAACTAGTGAGTCAAGTAGAAGAGAGAATTCTCAAGTGTATCAAGGTGTGAGCAAGGGTGTGAGAGAAACAGATTGTGAGGGTAGTGTTTTAAGGGGGTTTCCTTTGTAAACCAAAGTTGTAACCTATCTTCATTAGTGAAATTTCTCAAGGTGATCACCAAAGAGGATGTAGGCAATTTGCACCAAAGAGAATGTAGGCAAATTGCTGAACCTCTATAAACACTTGTGTCTTTTGTGCTTGATTATTTTCTGAGTGTGTGTGTAAGATTCATCCATCATTGAGTCTTGTCCAAAGTCCATCAACAACAAGGTCTAAAGAGAGTGAGTTGGTTCTAATTCACAACAATATATAGTTATATCGTTGAATTTTGAATACTTCTTCTATGTTGATATTTGAAGTTATGATTTTTCGGAATATGGATTTTATAAGTTGAGATACTGTTATTCACCTTCTGATTATATGATTGGGCAAGAGATAAATACGAGTTTGTGGTACTTTGTTGTTGGGCTATGTGAATATGGGATTACACCATGCTTGTGGGAGCAAATTTCCCCACAAGAATATTCAATTGGAAAGATTCCCCTTTCTTCTTCGCCGCCTCTTTCTCCCTGCAAAATAAATTGGATAAGAGGACCGCACCCGGGGGGTGTTGGCCAAAGGCCCTCCGATGCCTAAGTTAGTTCAATTGATTTAGGTAAAAATCGATAGCTAAATAGGGTACGGAGACATATATGTAATGTGTAAACTGGGCGGGCGGAGCCTTATGTAAAAAAGAGAGAGAGCGAGAGAGAGGAGGTGGCTAGGATTTGTGAGGGGAAGATTTCTACAGAGTTTTAGTAGAAATTCAAACGTACCTCAATCCTTGTGCGTAGCCAAGTATTTATAGGGGGCCTCGACAAGGTTGGTGAGGTTGGTGAGGTTGGTGTATTTAGGGATTTGATTTATTAGGGATTTAAATCAAATCCCTAATTGTGGTAGGTATCCAATCAATTCCCAATCTAATTAGGTAACTCCTCATTTAATTGGGAAATGTGGTAAGAATCAAATTAGTTTTCAACTTAATTAGGTAATTCTCAATTTAATTGGATATCCCCCAATTAAATTGAGTAACTCCCAATTAGGTTGAGTAATTCCCAATTAGGTCAAATAATCCCCAAATGGAAGGAATTATCTGACCTAGGGTTTTGATTTAATTCAGTTCCCACAATGCTAAGTACCCTCCCTTAGTTATTGTACCCACGCTTGGCATTAGATTATCCGGCGTGTGGGCATATATATGAATATATTGTTAGCTTATCACGCATGACGTTGGATATTGCGGCATGTGATAAAGTTGTCTGAGCGTGTAGAACATGTTTTGGCATAACCACACGTGGTATTGGATTTTTCGGCGTGTGTGCTCACTTGGATACTAGTTATCTTACCACACGTGGCATTGGATTATTCCGGTGTATGGCAAAGAATGCAGACATTTTGATTACTGTTACTTTACTACGCATGACATTGGATTCTCCAGCATGTAGTAAAGTAACGGGGATAGGACTAATGATTATTATACTATGTCGGGAAAAAGAGTAATGTTTAAAAGAATTGTGGTTAGCATATGTGCATATTTAAAGGGATATGGGTATTGGGTCATGAGTCTTGAGTACGGAGTGAGTTAAGAAAAATGGCTCTGTAGTTCATGGGCGGAGACCCGGAAATTTTATTTAAAGGGAAAATATGATTCCAAAATTAAACTTGTGGGTATTATTGAAAATAATTGTATGTTATCTGGTTCGTGGTTATTGACTGAAGAACTACGTGTGGTTTGTGTCACATCCTGGATCGGCTCTGCCGTAGCACGATATTGTTCGCTTTGGGCCCCCCCTGCCATCACAATTTTGTTTCTGGGAACTCACGAACAACTTCCCAGTGGGTCACCCATCCTAGATTGCTATAACCCAAACTCGCTTAACTTCGGAGTTCCCATGGAGTCTGAAGTCTGTGAGCTCCCAAAAGGCCTCATGCTAGATGGAGATGAGCATGTACATATAAGGCACATCACCCCATCTCCATTGGTCAATGTGGGATGTTACAATCCACCCCTCTTATGGACCCGACGAACTCGTCGGTACACTCACACCACACGGCAGAGTGACTCTGATACCATTTGTCACATCCCGGATCGGCTCAGCTGTAGCACGATATTGTCTGCTTTGGGCCCCCTGCCCTCACGATTTTGTTTCTGGGAACTCACGAGCAACTTCCCAGTGGGTCACCCATTCTAGGATTGCCCTAGCCCAAACTCGCTTAACTTCGGAGTTCCCATGGAATCCGAAGCCAGTGAGCTCCCAAAAGGCCTCATGCTAGATGGAGGTGGGCATGTACATATAAGGCACATCACCCCATCTCCGTTGGTCGATGTGGGATGTTACAGTTTGATCTCAGTAAGGGTACGTAGGTAGCCTGGGTTCTCACCCAGGTCCAGCCGTAAGGTAAACCATTTTTTTTGCATGGACTTTAATTTGGTCATTGGGATTGAATCCTATTTACTAGAGTTATTTAGTTTTGGATTTTATCGATGACCTAAAGCCCGAGCTTGTATAAGGCAATCTTTATCTATTTCTACTTATGTTAAACTCCGTTCCGTTTGTAAAATGTTTTTGGTTAGGATTAATTGTAAGGCCAGAGACCTATTACGTAAATCGCGTGTTATTAACTTGTGCATGCTGCCGGTTGAGTTATAACTGTGATTTTTACAAGTGAAACAATTTGGTAAATGTCCGTTTTTCAGGGGAGAGTCTACCGAAATTTCGGCAGAAAGTCTCGTGCCTCTTTTTCTTAATTTGGACAAGAGGCTATAGTATTAGTAAGTGGGCCCGGCATCGGTGTGATGTCGGAATTTCCAAAGGATTCATCTCGGGTTCCGAGGAATTTTGGGGCCGGTCCTGTCATAACCAGCCTTTGCAAAACCCTAATTCTCTCACTGATCCTCTCTCTCCTTTGTCTTGCAGCCACGGTTGTGGGTTAGATGAGATCTTAACATTCTTCCTCTTTGGCCTTTCAACCATGTCCATCCCCAAGTTCACAGGCCTAAAAGCCACAGCACGATAAATCATCTCTCTCATTTGTGCAATGACCTCTGGATCAGGCTTTTCAATAGAGGAAGCTGATACAGATGAACTTGGCTGTTGAAAGTTGATGTTGGATGAGCTTGGACGCTTATCTGATCTGGGCTTCTTCAAGTTCGGTGGGTTTTCGGAGATAAGACGAAAACCACCTTTCGTGGTAGAAGAATCCATTTGAAGAAGACCAAAGTGACTTTGATTGGCTCCATGTAGCTCACTTTGATCATGGCTTCTCTTTGTGGAATTTTTCTTACCCTGACTTTGGACATATAAATCTGATGAACTTTGAGAGACTACTGTTTCGTTGTTCTCAAACTCTTCGGATGAGATTGCACTATTATTGCCTGTCCAAAGTTCCATAAGTTTCTTCTGCAATCCGAGAAAAGCATAGAAATTCCATCATCATCTTCCACAGATGTGTCAGTGTTGCTATTAGTACCTGAGAGCAAGCAATCCAAGGACTCAACGGAGCGTGCCGTTGCTGGGTTAGCCCTGCCATGATCTTGTTGCGGCTATACTATTTTTTATAATAAAAAACCATAGTATAACCGCCCGGCTACACTTTTTTTATAAAAAAACAAAAACCGAGTATCGCTACTCGGCCATAGTATTTATAAAAACAAAGGCCCCGCCTGTCCTCCAGCGCCCATTTCACCACGTGTCAAAAATAGTATAGCCATTATTTTTATAATACAAACCGTAGTATAGCCGGGCGGCTATACTCTGGCGGGCAGCCAATCCTAATGCTAGAGATTTTGCTGTTGACATGGGTTTTGCTAACATGTGTATTGCGAAAACCATTAACTCGGAAAAGAAGATTGCAACAACAAAAATGTAATTTAGTCTGTTTTGCTTGCAGATATGTGAGAAAGTCTTTCGGAATGATCATCTTCAAGGTCGATCTGAGTGGTAACCTTTAGAAAGTTGTTTGACATTTGTTGCCTTTACAGAAACAGGGACGGGTACGAAATAAGGTACAAGAAAAGAGGAAACATTTCGTCAAAAGAAGAGAGATAAGTGAAAAAATTGTTCTTGCAAATATATGGTTTAAGTTAGCAGATTTAGCAACATTCATTTTGCTTTTGGATGCAAGGTGGAATCTAACAATGAGAATCATGTTGAAGTGAGTCTCCTAATTAATCAAGGAGATTTATTTCCTTGATTAATTAAGGGATTTACTTTCCTATTTTATAGAT